TGTCAGGATGTATGGAGCACTTGTCAAAGGTGCGGCGGTGCACCACCCCATCCTCTTTGCAGTCTTCTGCTGACCCCGTGTGACACACACCAATTGCTGCATACATGTGCATAATTCTCATGAACATGTGTACAAACACTTGCACAAAACCACTTTTCTGGCTGACCCCTGGCTGCTTTGAGGAACCCTTATCATAGTGTGCTGTGCGTTGAGTTATCCGTGTAATGTGTACGATATACATCCGCGTCGCAGCGTGTGGTGACGAGGGCCCCAAAAGTACGGTACCGTACTCACCAGCTCCTCGCGTGCCAACAATTGTGACACGCGGGCCAAAACCCGGCAAAAACACCCAACGACTGGCTGACTGCATCTGCTCCAAGGTGTTGAAAACTACGAACGCTCCACAATCCTGCACATCACGAGATATGAGCCCTCTCGGTGCTTCTGTATACGACACGATGTAATGGGAACACCTCAGCACTGCCGTGAGCGTTCCACAGATGGAAAAGACATCATTTGTCATTAAAAGACAGCAGGTTCAGGATCAACGAAGCGCATGCAACGCCCTGGAGAGGCCTGGGCGAAAATCATTACCAGGACTTGACGGCGGACCTGCCTGAAAAAGCAGAGAGGGGAAAACATGCTGTTGTTTGGGGCGACGATGTTTGGTGAGTACGGGTACCGTATGCACGGGACGTGTGATCGATGTCATCGCTTGAGGCAAAAACAACTGCCCAGGTTTCGTCTTGCCGTACCGTACTAGTTTACTGAATATATGATGCAAAACAATGTATGCAAAAACTATATGCAAAAAAAAACATTGCTGTGCTGCGTGGGTGGAGCGCTTGCCTGCTTGCTTGCCCTGCCCCGTTGCGGAGACGGAGGCGATGGGCCGGGGGCCGTCGCAGCGACCGTCTCCCGATGAGTCTTGCAGCTGCAGACGCAATAACAAAATCATTCAATCAAATATTTTTAATGATGAAGCATCCACTCCCACACGCATTGTTTCCAGTGTGTGTGTTTTGGTTATGGGGTGCGCGCACTGCTGGCTGCATTGCGTCGACAGCATCAGCACCATCACCAACCGCGCTTTTGTGCACAAAAGCGCCCAGATACTGCTCGTTGAGGAAGCGTCCAACACACAAGATTCATATGCGTACATTGATAACCTGTTTGCAGGCCCCACAGGGCCGCAGGGAGACGTACATAGTTTGCTACGCCATCCACCGCAAGCGGGCGGCGCATCCCCGCGGGATGAAGAGCGGCCGCTCTTCAGATGCGTGGTCAAGACGGAGCCAGACGCTGTGGCTCGCCGCTGCCCATCATCAACAAAATTGCTAGACAATGCTGAGGGCGTCTGCTCTTCTGTTGCCATCCAGGATGCTGCGCAAGGGCATTGGAATGCACCGAAAGGGCAACTTATGCATGGGTATAAGTAGTGCTGCATAGGGTTCGGGTACGCGCGGGGTACCACACCGCGGCACAGGGCGGGTACGCCGCGGGTACCCGACCCTGGGCGCGGTGGGGGGTAGCCCCTTGCGGGCAGGTGCCCCGGCCGGGCACCCCAGGGCGGGCCTCGCACTGTGCGGTGACCGATGAGCACCGCAAGGCAGCCTCGGCAAGCCGCGGCCGCCTCGCCGCCGCGGCCGCAACGCCTCGTGCATGCTGGTGGAAGCTGGGCCCTGTCATCATGTGACATCAGCGTGTGACAGTCATGGCACCCAGCGCCCAACAGTGTACCCTGACCTGCTGTTGAGCCACAGAGGTGGTGGTGGTATGGCATCTTCGGCCGACGCAACGGCTGCAAGCGGAACGCACCAGCCGTAACGCAGTTGCACCTGTGGCGTTTTGGCTGCATATCTTTGGATGCTGCCCTGCTGAAAGCTGTCATAATTCGACCCCAAAACATCACCCTCATGCCGTGCAGAGCTCAGCAATGTACCCTGGCTGCTGTGTGGCCAAAACAGATGTCCGCTCTCGGCCGCAACAGATGAATATTAGAGGCTGGAGCAGAGCGCTACCTTGCATCCTTTCGAGGATCCATGTGCTGCCCAGAACGCCACCATGTTTGGAAGTGGTTACTGCAATGGTCATATAAGATAAGCTCATTGGCCAATCCAAAGGGTAGGCAGGGTGATCAGCCCACGGCTTATCGAGCATCTAATGCGCCCTGGCAAGCCACGCCGGTGCACCCACCTGCGGGTCCCGGTCGTCGGGGCGCTCCCCCTTGTTGGGCAGCGCCTCGCTCTCGGCCAGCTTCTTGGCGGCGGCGTTCTCGGGGTCGTTGGTCAGCAGGGCAACGGGGGCCTTTTTGTTGGCCAGGATGTGGTCGTCGCTGTACTTCTCGGCCAGCATCGCGTGGACCTGGCAGAGCGTTGGGGGCGCCTGAGAGCACGGGCGCAGGGAGGGACGGATTTGAGCAGCGGCTCTGACGTGACGGCTCCAAGCAAACAAGCGAGATGGGTCCCCACAGCCAGCCTGCCAATCAAAGCAACAGGCAGGGACAATGCAGTCACAAACGATGGGAGCAAGGCTCGGCCAATAGGGCGCGGTGCGTACAGTGCAAGTCCGGCATGGGGCTCGCCCGAGGGGGCCCGGGTGCTCGCTGTCCAGCCTCAGCCCTTCAACCGCAGCCGCAACCATCTCAAGGCCGCAGCCGCGGGCCACATTCTTCATTCATGCCTGCAACACACCACGCCCTGGCGAGCGCGGCGGCCCCAACCCAAGCGACGGGCCGCTCCTGCGGCGCTCACCAGCTGTGCCGCCTTCTTCCAGTGGTGCCAGCCGGGGAAGTTGCCCCTCACCCAGGTCCAGAACAGCGCCAGCTTCTCCAGCGCGTCGTCCGTCGCGAGGTCGGGGTCGTACGGCTAGGCGCTCGGCTTGCCGTCATCGCCGTGGCTGCACCACCACTGAGGCGCCAGGCGGGGCAGAGCGCATTGGGTGCGAGGGGAGAGGGCCGCTGTGTGTGCTTGCATGTGAGCATAAAGCGTGTCGGCGTCACCAAGTTGGCAAAGTAAGAGCACAATTTCTTACCAGCCCCGCATTCGCGCCAGCCGCTACAGCCGGCCGCTGCCGGCAGCATGCGCGGTTGCATGATCTGCAGCGGAGGATGCAGCCATGTCCACCCTCACACCCACCTCCCACTTGCGCCGCTGGCTGTTATACTTTTTGCGCGTCCACGGTTTCTTGACCTTGTGGCTCGCGCCACCAAGCTCCGCACGCAGCTTGTTGCTGATGCTGCGCGCGTTGAAGGGGCAAGGGCGGGAGTGCAGGGCAGTTGGCGCGCGCGCACGGCGGGAAGCGCAATGTTGCACGGACCTGGCTCCTCACCGCATTGCCACTGCCACGCCCCAGAGCCATCACACCGGACATGAGCAGTGATGAAGGGTGCTGCACAGCCTCGGCAAGCGCACCTCGCACGCGCGAAGCACTCGTGCTTTGGCAGGGGCTTCGCCGCGGCGCGGCCGCGCCGCGCCGCGTTGTGGCCCTCATCCTGCCCGTCCACGCCTTCACCCTCCACAGCATCGATCGACGCCGCAGTCCGCTTGCCACGGCCCCTCCCCGGCCCGGATGATCTCGGGATCGCGGCCGCGGGGCTCCTCCTCCTCCGGTTCGGAATCCGAATCCTCCTGGCCGGGATCAAACTCATCGTTATCCTCCTGCTCCGACTCGCTAAGTGAAGGGCTGCGCCGCCGCCGCATGGCACCGCCCGCGCAGTTACAGGTCAGGGGTTTGAACGCAATGCCCAGAGGCCCCCCCAGGTACTGTGTGAGCTGTCCCTGGATGCAATTCTCAACCATACAATTGGCCTGCAGCCGAGCGCAGCGGCTGAGGACCTGTCACGCGCGTTGAGGGACCCGGACTGTTGGGCTCCGCCCAGCTGCCCGCCTGGCAGCTGGGCGGGTGCGTTGCCCGGTATTTGGCCCTGCGCTCGTGCCGGCAGCGTTGCTGCCGGCTCCCTCATCGGCTCTGTGGTACCCTCAGGCGGCCCAGCCCCGCCAGGCTGGGCCCAGGCCGCTGTAAGCTCCCACATTCAGGGACACAAACCCAGACCCGACAATTGCAGCGGCCACGGCACAGCACGCCGCACTCGTTGCGGAACTGCAGAAGGCGCGCCGGCAGGTCCACCTCCATGTGATTACACTGGGTGTGGGAGGCGCATTTTACGCAGGCATGATCACGACTGCGGCTGACCTAGGGATACCAAAAGAGAAACACAAGACCTTGTTCACACACCTCAACCTGCACGCTGTAGAGAGCATGACAGCTGTCTGGGGCCGCCGAAAGCAACTGCTGCATGCAAACAACTGCTCGCCATCAAGGCCGCGTCAAGGGCGCGGAGTCACGTGAGCATGTCCCCTGGTCTCCACGGTGGGGGGTGTGGCTCACCACACACACCCCTCTCCTTAACCCGACGCGGCGCCGCTTGCAGCGTGGCTTTTAGCCGCGCGAGGCGTCGGCGTAGTCTCTCTCTCTCTCTCTCTCTCTCTCTCTCTCAGCTCCCACATCCCGAGGTCCGTCACCTATGGCAGCCCAGGCGCCCGCTTGCCCGGCGGGTGCCGGTAGCAGAGGGCCCCTCGCACATGCTTAGAGATGGATGGACACAGCAGCATGGGCAGCTTTGCGCAGAGGCAGCAAGCTTGGGCCGAGCAAGGGCAGCACAGGCTCGGCCCGGGTGGGCCTCACTCTGTGATGTGGCGTGCATGCACCAGCAACGCCGTGACAGCCGTGACCAGTCCGGGCGCCCAATGCCCAGGGGCGCTGGCTGGGCGCGACAGGCCGCCGCACGGGGCGGGAAGTCGCAGCTGACCTGGCGTTGTTACACTGCGCGTTTATACACTGGCCTGGGTACCGTTCGTGTGGTACCCGCGGTACCCGCCGCCCTGCAGCCCTGGTACCCGAAACCGTGAGTAACTTTTTGTTGCAGGAAGCTCCAGGATCACTTGGGACCGGCAGTGGCTGGCAATATCTTTGCACCCTTTCTCATGCTTGTCGCATTCTATCTACCGCTGTCCCGATGCGTGCGTGGCGCCGCCTGCCGCCTGACAGGCAAAAACTCTCATCTCCTCATGTCCGGTGCGTGCGTCCATAATTGACCACAGTGTTATTGTCAATTGTTGAGAACCCCTGGCCTAATAATGCAACAAAACATTTTGTGATAACGCACTTATAAACTGCTAGTGCAGCAGCGGTGCTGCAAGGTCCCATTCCCTCCCTGCTGCAGCTGCCCGCCACGCATCCGGCAGGCCCAGGAAGGCCGATGTTATGCCCGCAAGTATGAACAAAACAATCGAAAACGGCTTGCTCGCTTTGAACCACCATCTCAAGCTCCCGAATTTTGGCTGGATGGATTCTACTACAACGTCCAGCACCCAACCAGATGTATCGTCCACTTCTCCAGTCGATGCTGCAGCTGCAGGTGGTCTGGTGCTTGCGCCAGCTGGTGACAAGTGGCTATTGGCAATATTTGTTGACGAAAGCACTCGAACAAAAGGCATGCTGTGATGCTGTTGCCCTACCTCCTCGCTCACGACCTGCAGTGCAAACGGTGGCAAGAATTGCAACCGTTTGACGACGTGCAGTATGTTATCAACGGGTGCAATGTGACATCCAATTGCAAGGCAAGCACATGGCACACTAATGAATGACAAGCGCACTGCAATGCACAAGGACGATCAGGCCCAATTGTTTCGTGCGTCAGTCCTATGAAAGCGTGATCCTGATTTGGTTCAACAGTTCTTGCTTATAAAGTCACTGTTTCGATCATCACCACGCCACAATGACAATACTGACCTCTTACCTTTGCTGTTGCTGCTTGCAACCACGTTGCCAGCTTCATAGCTACGCCTTCAGAAATCCCATCCCTTTGCATGGCGGCTGCAGCACTCTGCGCCAGACTGTTGTCTTTTATGTGGGAGCCTGCCATCTCCAAGACAAACGTGCTGGTGGCAGAATTGGGTACCGCAGGTGTCGGGGCAGGTGATGCACCTGTGAGGATGCTCTGCCGGCGATGTTCCACCGCTGGCTTGGCCTTGCGAGATGCTTCTGGCGTGAGACTTTGTTCTGTGAACGTTGATCCCGCGGCCTGAAAAGCAAAGTGGATAGAGTGAGACCATCCTTAAGACCAGCAACACTCGATATTAACAACAGCCGCGGCAGCATCAGCAGTGTGCACAGAAGCAACAAAACTACCAGGGCGAGGGCCGAGGACGGCTGCGGCCAGTCGATGTTTATGCATTGACAAAGCTGGATGCGTACACTTGTTGATACATGACCTTTGTTCGGCTTAGAGGCTGGAGGTCGCGTATCAAGAAGCGTTTTCTCCCAGAATTCCCCATGCATCAACAACCCTAAACAGCAACTCTGCTGGATTGAAACCTTGGCGCAGTCTTGACGAACGAACATGCACGTTTTCAATACGCACAAGCACATCGACAAGGCTGTCAAACCATTGGCAAGGTAGTCTCATCATCAAGCTTTGGCTCTGTTGCTGATTGCCGACCCTGGATTGCTGCCGTGAAGCACACTTCTCTCACCAGAAATTCAGCCCGTGCAGTGAAGCACACAGCCACCAGGAGCGTGGCCATAATGGCCACGGGTTGTGAGTGGGGCGACATGCCGTTGTTCCTTTGATTCACGCCTGCAAACACAATTTGGCATTTGGTGGGGTCACAGCAGGCGATGTGTTCAAATTGATGCAGCACACGAGCACCCCACCGATCTGGCCGCTGAGAGCTCCACGGTACACGCACGCTCCGCCCCTTTCCAGCCGTACATGCAGGTGAAAAGATCAAGTCTCATGCTATTAGTCCTTTATGGCAGCGCTTGCAGAATGAGGGATGCAGTGCAGTGCATTCCGGCATAAGTGGAGCAGAGCGATGCAAGCATCGACCATCCATACACGTTCCGGGCACCACAACAGCCGTTGCTTTTTGGCTACCAGTGTCTGAACATTACCCACCTGGGAGGCAATGGAGGCGCTTGCAGCTGGCAGCACGCCTGTAGGCAGGGCCTGTGGCGCAAGCACGCGAAGAATTGAGGGTCCAGCCATCTGTAACAGTCTACAGCAGTGGAAGGTTCGAGGGGGGTGATGCACGCTACAGCAGCTGCTGGTGAGGCGACCAAACTCCAGAAATGTACGCTGGTTCATTGCAACATAGCGCTAACAGGGTTGGGTACGAGGGTACGGCATGATGGCCCCGCACTTACACGGGCTTGTGAGCAGAGCGGCTGTGACGCCTTATCGTTTGCAACGGTATTAGAAGGTGATGTAAGATACTGATTCGGATTGCGCATTCGGAGAAAACGAGACACGTGTTTTTCCCGCTGTGTTTGAGAGGGGGCAACCATCGGGGACCGCCACACCATTCGTCATCCATCTTCTTCACCTACGCCCGCCTGCATGCTAATGCGTTTTGCTTTCCTTATATGCAAAATCGTCGTATCGTATCATGCATGCACTGACGAGGGTTCGATTACCGAGGGGCAGAGTGGTCACCACCGTAGACACCGCACACGGCAAAAGTGGCAAGCGGCAGTGTGCTCAAAGCGATTGGGGTATCCCGCCCATACCCTTTCCACCGGTACCCCTCGATACACTGAATCACCTGCGCGGTAGGCAGCAGGCCAGCCGGTGCAGCGCAAAATGTCCTGAGCCGCAGACACCACGGCAGGTATGTGAATGTGCAGCAGGTGTGTCAACATCACGTATGCTGTTGCTCGTGTGGGTGTCCCGGTGGTGGGCCGCTCCAGGGGAAAGGGGGGTGAACATTGCGGTCTGCCAGTAAACTGTAGGGGAAGCGCAAGGCAGAAGTGTGGTCAGCGGGGCATGGCGCAATAGCCCCCGCGGCGTGTTACGCGTCCCAACAATAAAAAATCCAGGTGCGTGCGGGGCGGGCTGACATGTGCAGCTCTCCACCCAGAAAGAACACAATCCCCCGAAGCGTGTGGTTTGTAGACTGGAGTGCGTCGCCAGTGTCGGGCTGTTCGCGCAGTCATGTTGCCCTAGCCCACCCCGTGCATGCCCTCCCCCCCTCCCCCGGGTGGGGGGAACTCCTGGGCACCCCCCCAAGCACAGCCGGATACTCCCTGAGAGTGGTGACGTGTCGGTCCGCGCGGCGACGAAGCAGTGTTGACGGAGAGGCGGCAGGGATACCCCGTGCGGCATGCATGGCGGTGTGTAGGTGCAGTATGTATGCCACGCGGACACGTACACGCACAACACGCACACAACCCGGACTATGATAACTCGATATTGTTCCATTACCAACGTTGAGGACCCCCCGCGATACGCCTCACTCAGCTCAAAACGTAGTGTGTATGTACAGGGAAAACG